TACTATAGTTCTAGTTTAATCTCAGTAGATTATACCTACTTCCCTATACGGTATTAAGATTAGAATTTCAGGTCTCAACGTGAACAAAAAAAGAAAAATAATCAGTAACGACAAATGAGAAAAATAAAGTGACACAATCAAAGAAAGCGGCACATATGCACAAGAAGTAAAAATGACTTGAATAATAATTAGCGATGACAATTTTTAGAGGAAGTTACATAGGTCAAAGTCAAAGCTAATGAGAATTTAATTCAGATGGAACGTTTGTTGAGTTTGTATAGTGTGATAATAGATTACATCAAGAAATTATCAAGGCACGACAACTGTTTGTACTAGTATGAAGTTTCTCAGAACAGGGTATGTTTCATTCTCGAGGTATCAAACAACTATGTTATCTTTACGCCATTGAGTCGGTTCGGATTACTAGCATAGGTCTATTCATTCTAAAACACGGCCTCCATTTATTACCACCAATAATATTTGCATTCATCTCTACATAGGTTAACTCTACTAGACACACGTTCTCGTTTGAATCAAAGGGTTTTTTCGGAGTTAGTTAATATTATTTTGTGAATATTCTAGAAATGTGAAAAATGAACTGAAACTAAAGAGGAAACATTGACCAAGGGAAGAGAATTCTCGTTGATATTTATGAGAATCCGAAAGTAGGGAAGGAAAAATAACCAAAGTTTCGCTCCCACCATTATATTATACTGGAATTTTTTTTCCCATTCTTGGTATATTCATATAGATAATCGTAAATCTTTAAATTTCTAGAGGATAATCTAGAAAAAAATCATAAAGATAGATTAATTCAATTTTTACGGGTTCAATCTATGCTATAAAATAATAAGATTGAAAATACAATTGGTCATATTTGAAAAAGAAATGGTTTATTGATGAATTCTTTTATCTTTCCACACCAATGACCATATTCTAAAAGATACATGTAAGCTTGTTTTAAATAAGCATCTAGAATGTGTTTCTCTTCTATTATCCAAAAGAGAGTTTCAGCAAATATTTCTAGAGAAAAAAAATAAATGAAAAGTAAATATGAAGCGTTTATTTATTTAAACACATAAACATTGGTACAACGAGGTACCAAATATATATGCACCACAAAAATCATTCGATTTGTGTGAGGGCTGGGATACTGCCCGGGTACCCATACTAAAACAGGTGGTTTTCTTAGGGGGACATAACCGGAGCCTTTGACCTAAAGGTCTGACCCACAAAATAACTATTGTAGTAATATACTAACTAAATATTTCTAAATATTGAATCCTATTTGGTACAGACAAACTGATTATCATTTTTAGATGTTAAAATTATATGACATTAAGAAATTGGTTCAGTTTCGGTCCACGTTGTTTTCATTTATTAAAAATAATACAACTATATAGACCATAAGAAATTTTTTGAAAGGCGTAATAATCCATCCTCAATTAACTTTCACATTCACCTGTTAATTACCTTATAGAGATACATTTTCAGTATCACCCCAGTTGATAACATTGAATATCTGATAATTATTGACGACATATTCTTTGTAGTAAGCTAGATAGCTAGATAGAACTGTGATGAATAGCCTTTTATGGTTATTTAGGCATTAAAATCAGGATTGTAAGTAAACTCACTTTATCGTGGTCACTGCATTTCGGCTTACCATTTCTATCTGCAATGTTGCTGGTTTCAGTTACTGAATGAGTACATGAACACAAATACTGTAATGAACAAATACACAGCCACTTTTCTGTTGATCTTGTATAATTATTATTTTTCATTTGATGGTGAAATGCGGTTTTGTCTGCGTGTATATAAACCACGTATGCCTGAAATGTACTATTCGAACAGTGGATACTGAGATTGTGTTCTGGACTGAACAGGCTGGGCTAGACAAGAAGACTAGTAAGGATTCGGAGTTGAATTTAGGCTGCTAGTTCTGCTTGATGTGCCGTTGACTTAGCATAGGAACAACGTCATTTAAGTCGGTATTCTGATTGACGATTTTTTCAAGTGATCATTGACTGGTGGGGAAGTCACAACAAGATTAGGCGCAAAGACACTTGGCGCAAATGATGGAAAAGGAAAAAATATTTGTAAATTAGTTGCTATACTGTTATGAATCACTGAATAGGATCAATAAATTATTGAGTTTACAAATGATGAGTTCTCTTCATACCAGTTATACTAATGACCTGACCAACAACATCAATGATCACCAACTATGATCAGATGTCTTAACACCTACTAGTCTACGTAGATTATTCCATACCCCTCTCGGCGAAGCCCAGTCAGAACACGAGTGCAGCTAACCGATTTATTTTCTATTCTCATGATTTAATAACTCACATGATAATACCGATGACTTATAGAACTCCATGATATCACCAATCGTAAATTACAGTCTGTACATAATTAGGTTATTTGTGATGAAAAACTGAGTAACAGATGTATAATTAATTTACTGTATTTTATGTAAATTAATGCGAACAATTAAATGACAATGCAAAAATACCAGTCACTAAATATTTGATAATTACACAATAGAAATATATATATATAGGATAGCTCTCATATTTCTACCATTCTGATTTGTTCTCCTGGACTTAACATATACTACTCAGTTCCATTTTAAGTTGGTCTTCAATATTAAGTTAATTTACTGACATACATCAATATATGTTAAGGTGACTCAGTGGGGGTTTGTCTATGACACATTCACGGACGATAAGGCAACTAGAAAAGACTATGCGAAGCTTAGCAGCATAAAATGCATTTATAAAAGATATCGTCAAACGTTTTCGATGCATATAAATACTTTCGATATACTTTGAATGTAATAGATGAATCGATATATTTATCTACTATAACTACGTGAGAGTAAAGCAAATCACTCAAATTTTGACTGATTCTATAAGTAATAGATGAGCAACTGACCATTATAGAAGTGTGTTTTTAAAATAATTCTAAACATTATTACATTTTAATCATGATAACTGACGATCCATATTCCATTATTATGGATAAAAAAAGGCAAAATGTTAGGACAGTCTCTCATTTCGGTACGTATGATAAACAATTAGAAAAAAAGAATATATCCAACATTCTTTCAGGATAATTAGACACTAATTCATGTGAACTATGCTTTTTTTATATGAATCCTTTTTAAAATTACCTGGGAAATTTACATAAACAGGGTTAATCCTTATAGATTCACTAATTATTGTGTAACTATTGAATTGACTTCTGAGAACTACAACAGGGCCTCCAGAGGCCCAAAAGGAGACGACAAGTTTCCAGCTAATCAGAACATGATGGAGCTTTCTAGAATATCGTGGCATGCTACTATTGAACAGTAGCATAATTTGTCTCTGCAAATTGGCCGAATTATAATGTTGATTTAACAAACGCTCATATATATAAGTACCCGTGGTTTTTTGTATATTTTGATACTCCAGCTTTTCTTCTGTCTTCTGATTTGAGACGGTGAAGTTCCAACGTTCGAGTGTCATAGGTGTAAAACATTCTGCGTTAATCAAGCAACGAACTTAACAGTACCAAAGTCACAAACGTTATTGTATACAATTTTTACTTTATATTGTTCAATATATTAATTTGGATTTATAATTGCACTAATGTAAAATAACAAATTTTGTGAAGGTAAATGGATCGATTCACGCACAAAAGGTTATAATGATTGTAAAGCAATTGTATATTTTCTACCTAATAACAACAATTTTACCATTAAGAAAGTTTTACACAATAAGTTGACCGAATTAAACGTATAGGAAAAGAATTGAATTTAGAAAGTTAAAAAAATAATATTTTCTTTTGAAATTCCTAGACATTCTTTTATTTTGTATGGTTTGTTTGAATCTCCCCATTGATGATTAGGACTGCAATTGATCTGTCACCGCATTGCAAAAGTTAGTGGCTATCAGGATCCAGTAGCTAAGTGGCATTTGAAACGAACGGTAGTGTTCGAGTCATGGAGTGACACATAAACTCTAGGATGCAGATACATCCAACTGGCGAATCCTAAGTAGAACGAAATACGCGTTCTGGATTTCACTGCTAGCCACCATCCATCTTCTTGTGACTTAAAGGCAATCTTTCATTTAGCAATAAGGCTAAATAGAATATTTGTTTTATTGATCTGGCCATATGATTCTTAACAGTTCGTCATTCTGGACTCTTAGTTTATACACTGATACAATAATTTGGGATGAGAACTGATTTGTTCAACATTTCTTACGATTAGTTATGACGCGTAAATCAACAATTAATTTTGGGAAATTGGGATTTCTCAGCTAATTTGTTCTCTGTGGGCTTTTCGAGAGGTACAAAGTAAAGGAGTGAATCACTTTCTTCATAACGTTCACAGGGATGTTTATTCGAGGACTCATCCTTTGTAAATTCTATGTGGACTACATATGGATAAATTTCCCTAGATGTCCTTGTATGGTATAGCCTTTCCAACGAGAAACAACATATGTGCAGCTACTGAACATGATCACTGATCATACCCCGACTTCGTCATGGTTACTAAGTGTTCTGTCCGATTGTTTTATGAGGTAAACAACTAAATTTATTTCATTACAATAAAGTGAAAAGATCAATTGTTCGAACCCTGGACCACGCACTACCCTTGTTTACAAACATCAACCTAGCAATCATATCTGCTTCAAGATAGCTAGTTAAATTTTTTTCTAATTAAGAACAACCTAATATTTTCACAGAACTGCAAATATACTGTGAAGTATGAAGTAACCGGATTCGCATTTGCTTATTATTCCAGACATTGGTTCATTACCAAAAAATCTTTATTCTTAAGAAAACACAGCAATAGGTTATTGATTCTGCATATCTTCCAGTATGTAGGAAGTCAATGTTCTAGGAGTCTGTGTGACCTAAATCAAAAATCAATAAGAAAAGGCAGACCACTTTATTTATTATTTAATCGACCAATCATCTTAACATAATTGTTTGTGTGCTTTTAAAATGCATAGCCACACATTAATATAACTTTATGTAGGGATATCATGAAAATGTTAGGGTGTAATGTAACTATCTAGACAGTAAAATGAAGTTCCTTTGCAAAATCACGTAAACCTTATACTGTGCTATTCTTGTCATTAAAACTACAACAAAATGTTCAATTTCACTCTCTTTCAGCGTTTATGATTGGTCAGTTCAAAACATCCCTAATTTTAAGGAGTTAAAGTAATGTAACAAATTTTTTTCATAATCTAAATAACCATCCAATTTTCTCTATTCAACATAAAAGATTGAAAATTCAAAAATCTTTCGAGTATTTTATATTCTAGTATAGAAGGATTCTTTACTTGAACCATTATTGTTAATGTGTTAATATCCTTGTAATTATTATCATTATTACAATCATTAATAATAACATTGATGGCACTTGAACCAGTAGTAATTAGTCTTCGCAGAGCAACATCAGATAAATCCTGGGGATTTGTATTACAAGGTGGTGTTGATCAAGGCTTGCCAGTATTTGTCCATAAAGTAAGTTAGTATATATTTTTGCATTTTGAGGAATGTATATTTTTAATTGATTGTTGTTAGATGACTGGAGATAATCAGCGAAATGATATGAACTCAGGTTTTGAGCTAATTCACAGTCGTTATCAGGATGTATTTTCACTCTTGAAGGAACTGATGGTTATCACTGAGTTCAAACCGATGTCACCCAGTTTCACAATTAAAGATTACCAATGATCTATTTGACTGTTGTATGATATTTTGCAGATATAAGAGTTTAACATCTGGTCAGCTAAGGGTAATAATCGTTCATTTAACTATGTATCGCCTTTTATGGTATACACGTTAGATAGAAGGCAATTTAAATGGGCACTGTGTGAAAATCCGAATTCGTTGTATTAGTTCAACCGAACTTAATAACTGAAAGTCAATCATTCTCGTACCGCTTATTGACCAACTTTTAAAGAAAAATGCCCAAAGTATATGTGGTAGCGTTGGTTTATAAAATTTATAAAATTCGAATTATCAAAATTTTTCAGCCAATACGGTAATTGTGCCTAAGTAGTTGGTTACAGTTTGTACAAAAAACTACTGTTTACTAAAAAATGATCCCTTGAAGTTTCCTCAATGGATAAGATTTACTTGGTATAATGGTTTTCGTAAAATTAAGTCAAATTATTCTTAACATGACCAACGTGCAGTGTACAGTTGAGTTGTACATTCTTGCTTCACTGTAAGCAGTATAAGTGTAATTAAATTAATAGTGTAAACATGCAAAGACACAAATCACAAATTTCGTCTATGGAAACAGTTTTTATTAGGGATTGAAATCAACTAAGGAATCAATGGAAACTAAAGAGCACTGAACAGCTATTTCATCTTAAACACTGTAAATCCACGAACTCACTAGAAATTTAATTCAGAACCTTTAGGTTCACAATGAGCGTGTAACCTTTAAACCAATTAGTTAGAATCTAATTACCTATATTTTCAACTACAATCAATTTGTAATGTAGTGACCGTCATTCATTGTTAGCGCCTTCTCCCTCCTTCTCGACATATACTAGAACGAAGCAGCTGTCAAATCCTCCCTTGTTATCTGTTGTTTTCCAGATTATAATAACTTGTGATTTGGACTATATTCTCATTGAACTAATCTCCATACCCTACTCAACTAGATAATCCCTAATTCTTTAGGTCTGTAAAATGAATGAATCGAATAGATTTATATATTTAATAAAAGAAAAAACGAAACATGTGTATACTGTACAAAGGCTAAGTGATGTACTGTTTCGAAGAAAACCAATATATGAAATGAAAAAACCTCCAGGAAAAATTACATTAGGCAGTTCTTCTTGTAGGTTGATTTGATTTCAATTTATACCACAATATTACTTACTTACGCCTGTTACCTCTTGTGGAGGAGCATAGGCCACCAACCAGCATCCTACATTCAACTCCGTCATGAGCATTCCTTTCCAGTTGTTTCCACTTACTATTCATTCTTTTCATGTCTGCTTCCGATTCCCAACGCAGTGTGTGTACTTTGGTCTTCTTCTTTTACGTTTCTCTTCAGAATTTCAAGTTCGAGCTTGCTTCGTGATGTAGTTTGATGATTTCCTCAATGTGTGTCCTATCCATTTCCAACGTCTTTTTCCAATTTCTTCTTCAGCTGGATGTTGGTTTATTCTCTCTCATAGTAGGTACCATCTTTTAATTAGTGAAAGATTTAGTAAACTTTTTAAAAACAAAATTTACATTACAAATGAATGAATGCATTGTAGAAATTTCACAAGAGTTTTCTTTCGAAGATACTTTATATTTGTTTAATTTTATTCTATTTAAGATATTAAAATAAATTATGTATACAGAATATCACTATTTTAACTTAATGTAAGTAGAACATGTTTAAAATATATGTAGACAAATATTATCATAATGTTTTTTATTCCTAGTTTTAAAGCAAATTCGGTAAGACTATAATTTATGAACGAACCAATCAGATTCGGGATAACAGGTCTTGCGTTTTGGCGCGGAATTCATTCACTCATTTGGTCAAATATCTGTCTTGGCATTTTAGCTGATATAAGTTCGTTATGAAAAACCGTATATCTAATTCCTAACCTTAATCATCAACTGTCGATCCAAATCCCGTAGTGGCAGAGATAGTAAGAGTATAAGCAGTAATCGGAAGAAAATTGTAAAGTTGATTAGAGTGAAAGGAATTGTTAATTATGATAAGCAAACTTTATCAGTAATAGAAACTAAGTAATTAGGCAATGAATGATTCTGCACAATCATAGTTTCAAAGAAAATTCACTGTTTTTTGAATTGTGTTGGGGTTTGTGTGATTATTGTAACCAACAGTCGTAATTGATTATGATGAGATATATACGTTCACTATTTACCTTCTCTTAGATTTGGAATTTTAAAATTGTCTTGTACTTTTTTATTTCTTGAATTCATTCTTATTATTTGAATCATGCTGTCGATTTGTAAGATATTTTACTACCAATGATACTGTTGCTATTTTTACTACTCTAGGATTTGTATGCTAATGTGGTGTGGGAGTTTGAACTGATATACAAATATACCAGGTTTTATGTTGAGTAACGATACGTCAACGAAAAATATTACCATGCGAATAATGAAGGTTCCCATAACGACAGTATTATTAAGACTTGGGGTTATCACATAACTGACACCTATTTCTGTCGGTCGTTTTGTTTTGCATATTAATATATGTATTGTGATGTTCACTTGCTTCATCGTCTTTTCTCGAAACACATGAAGTCTCTAGCAAATCTTATCCTTTCTCTCCGTACTTTCATGTAAATATTATTGTTGAGGAGTCGTTGTATGCTAGTCATTATATACATCTGTTGGTGTTAGTTCCGGTATCATGTTTTGAACCTGATAAAATTACACAAACCATTATAATTACTCTAAGAGATTCAACACAAAACATTCTGAACTCATAAGATTCAGTAATCATATGTAAATAAATTGAGGAGATAAAATATACTGAACGAGGAAACAATGTTATCACCGTAATCTAGTATGGTTCACACTATAAGTAAAACCTAGAGGTTAAAACTCGCTCCTTTCAGTTTTTTCGGTTTGTCAATGCAAGACCGTATGAACAGGTGTTTTAGCTAACATAGCTCGGTTGGGTTGTTAGGATAAGTAAACTCGAAAAATCTGTCAAGGTACCAGCTATATCCTAGTCATTCATGTTAAATCTATAGATGTATGTGAGCAAAAGAATATTTTGCGAAATATTGTTCCATTACTTATAAGCTCAACATTTTTGGTGTAAAATTATCAGATATCTTTGTAAATTTTGCTATCCCTTGATGAAAACTAATCTGTTAAAATAATTGTAAACAATCAATTTCCACGGTAAAAGTCACTAGTCGATCCATGCTAGACCACCACTGGAAACATGGGAGTACTGGACCACCGTTTCGTCCTTGTATGGGACTCCTCGGCGATGCGCATTCACGACCTCGCACGCAGGACTCGAGCCCAGGACTTACGGTCTTGCGGGCAAATGCTTAACCTCTAGGATTTTAAGCCAGTATTCAATGATGTACAAATGTAACTTAGATCAGCTCGTGTTTTCAACAAAACTCAACAATCTTCACAACATCATACATCCATATTTTTTATTTCAGTTTAGTAAAATTTACTTCTTTTTGTCTTCTGCATTTATATAGTCACAAAATAATATTTGATACTTAGATTTCCCCAAGAACAAATATACATTAAGACTAGATGGAATATGTTTATTGCAATCATTTTTTAAATAGAAATATTTTGCCTGAATAGTATTGTAATAATGAGAAACCACTAATATGATATTAGAGTATAATTTTCATAATCTTTACTAAAACTCACCTAAATTTATCAGAAAAAAACCTTGTTTCACGAAAGTGAGTCGTCAGAAAGGAGAACAGAATTCTATGATGAATGTATGAGATTAGGAAGATTTTCACTGTGTAATATTTTAAGGAATGAAAAGTTAATCCAACGTAGGTAGTTGATTTGTTTTATTTAAAAATATAATGTCTAGGTGATAAAATTGATACTTACGCCTGTTACTCCTCGTGAAAGAGCATAGGCCACTCACCGGCATTCTCCATCCAACTCTGTCCCGGGCATTCCTATCCAGCTCCTCCCAGTTGTTATTCATTCTTTTCATATCTCCTATTTCCCGACGTTATGTGTTCTTTGACCTTCCTCTTTTTCGCTTCCCTTCAGGATTCCAAGTTAGGGCTTGCTTCGTGATGCAGTTTGATGATTTGCGTAATGTATGTCCCATCCATTCCTATCTTCTTTCCCTAATTTCCTCTTCAGCTGGAAGCTGGTTTGTTCTTTCCCACAGAAGGCTATTTTATTTTTATTTTTTAAAATATAAAATTGATACTACTAATAACAAAATACAAATAATTAAAGGTACGGTGTAAATCAATGGATTTTCATGAAGAACTTGAATAGTTCTGACAGATTAGAAGTGTTCAGAATTCAATTTGAAATTCCATTTATCATCAATGTTATATGAAATCTTGCAAGTAATACCAAAGTAGTAAATCTGATACTTAAAAAAATACAATTTATACAGTTTATTAGGCTTTTTTAGGCAGAATGAAACTAAACTATAAAGGTAAGTAGTATTATGATCCCCCATTACTATATATATATATATATATATATATATATATATATATATATATATATATATATTTACCCGGAGTTTGTGCTGATGATGTTGTTTAGAAGAACGATGAAATCTCCACGACCAAACTATCCAGCTCAGAGAACAAAACTCCATCAAATATATGTATATATAAGCTTTAGTATTATGCTTCCAAAATAATGTATTACACACTGTCTCGTATTGTTTCTTATAAGTAATTATATTTTAACAACTAATTAAGTAGACTATTTACTAATGTATAAAGCCTTTAATCAATTTCCATTCTAATATCAATATGGATATGTACTTGTTCCAACTTGATAAT